CTCTCTCTCTCTCTCTCTCTCTCTCTCTCTCTCTCTCTCTCTCTCTCTCCACCCACCCCAAGGAGAAAGCCTTTGTCATTTAGCAGACTTGTATCATTTTCTGGAAAGACATTTCTCTCAGCCTGGATTTTTTTAAAGACTATTCATGAGTCCTTTTATGAAAGAAGAGGTAGACTGTAAAATAATCTCTTTAAGATAGACTGTGGCCACAGATAGAGATGAAGTCGCTCCTTTTAACTGACACCTGCTTCCCACCTTTCTCGTATGCGTTTTTTTTTTTTTCTTCCCAGAAATTCCTTTGGCGTCTACAAAGATTCTCTTAGAAATTACTTGCAGCATCTTTCATGGGGATTTTACCCTGAGAAGTGGCTGGGGCTTCATAGCCATGCAGGTCCTGCTCTCGGCGACTTTTGATCCTAACTCCTTTGTTAGAGATGACTCATCATTAGACCCTTCCAAAAAGAATGTGTTGAGGCAGACACCAACCGTGCGGCCCCTCTAGGACGTCAGTCTTCTAAGGCTCTGCTCACCGCTGCACCCTCAGCCCCTGGAGCTGTGCCTGGCCCAATCACGCCAATAAAAACTTGTTGAATGAACGGACAAGTAGTTATATAGACATGGCTGAAATGGGACAAAATAAACCTCACAGGAAAACAGAAGATATTTCCACACTTGCTGCTAGGGAGTCGATTCTGTATCTCAAAACAACGGTTTGGAAAACCAGACATTCAGAGCCTTTCTTTAATTGGGTTCAGGGGTTCTCAAACTTGGCTATGCATCTATCATGTTGTGGCCGGAGCATGGGCAGCCACCTTGCACCATGAGGTAGGGCCAGCCACACACGGAGGGTGGAAGGAGTCATGTCTTTATTTGAGAGGGGAAACAATGCATTTTTCCCTTGCTGAAGCCACTATTTATGACCGTCTGTTTTTTGTAACCAAATGTAGTCTTAACTGATACCCTCCCACTCCGTGCCAATTTCAAGTTGATTGCTCTTCCTTATTGTTAAATGTTTAAAATGTGTAAGATGCTAACACAATGTAAACAAAGCACAACTGCAAATGTTGCAAAGATGCAGGCTTTGCTGAAATTGATGAAACAGATGTCGGAGAGGGAATTGAACCACAGGCATGTGAGGCTCTGGTCTCTGGAAACCAGCTAACCAGTGAAGAAAGAATAAAGCAACCCAGGAAGCATGAGAAGACAGGAACCGCAAAAAATAAACTATTAAACACCAAAGGAAGGAGAGAAGCTCTCCACGTGTCCGGGAAACAGTGATGAGGACCTGGCGTGTTGCTTTATTTCTTATTTGTCTGTGTGAACTATTTCTTGGTCTTATAGTCGTAATTTCTATTTTGCCTGCATAAACAAATTGTGTTAAACACAAGACAGATTTAACCTATTTTCTTAATTTGGGGATTCATTTTTTGCAGCGCAAAGTCACAATCTAATGTTTTCTTAGCTTGTCCCTGTTTTCCATGAAATTCCAGTCCCTATTGAAGCAGATCGTGTGAGTCAGTAGCTGTCAGTTTAGGCTGCACCTTGGGTCATTGGGAAGCTTCGAGCCTGGGTCTACCCGCAATGACCCGATGGGGCTGGTCTAAGACCTGCCCTGAGCACCCAGGTTTCTCAGAGCCAAGGCTGGGAGCCGGTTTTAAGCGGCCTTCCAGGCATCGGTTGGCTCTGGGTGGGGGCGGGGGGGTCGTCCCACATGGCTTTACCACGTCAGCCCCTGCCTCTAAAAGGATAGATCAGAGAGGGGAAGTGAGGTGGGGGGAGGAGATGCAAGGAGAATTTTTTAAAAGGAAGGAAAGAGAGGGAGGGAGGGAGGGAGGGAGGGAAGAAGACAACTGGGTGGATGGGAAGAGCTAGCTGCCCTGGTCCCACAGGGCTGTGGTCCCCAAACCCCAGGCCCCAGACCAGAACTGGTCCATGCCTGTTAGGAACCGGGCTGCACAGCAGGAAGTGAGTGGCGGGCGAGCGAGGAAAGCTTCATCCATATTTACAGCTGCTCGGGCTCCCACCGATTCCGCATTATGGTGAGTGGTATAATTGTTTCATTATCTATCGCGATGCAATGATAATAGAAATAAAGCTCACAATAGATGTAACACACTTGGATCATCCTGAAACCACCACACGCCCTCCGTGGAAAAATTGTCTTCCATGGAACGGGTCCCCTGGTGCCAAAGATGTGCAGAGGCTGGGGACGGCCACCCCGGGCTGCCACAGACTAACGATCCGCAGGGCAGGTCCAGCTGCCGGGAGCCCTCCCAGGAAAAGGGCTCTGGGCTGTGCAGGGTCCTGTTGCCGAGGCCAACACAGGAGTGCAGTGACCGCGTGGAGCCAAGTCACCTGCTCAGAGTTCAAACGTCTTCGAAATGCCATCCTGAGCCACGGGAGGGGAGGACACTTGGCAGCACGCCTAGACCTCCTGTGCCCACAGGGCGCCCCACGGACCCCCCCACACAATCGCACGGCCAAGGGGAGCCCACGGGGTCTGTTTTTGCAAACTTTTTTTTTTTTTTTTTTGAGACAGAGTCTCACTCTGTTGCCCAGGCTAGAGTGAGTGCCGTGACATTAGCCTAGCTCACAGCAACCTCCAACTCCTGGGCTCAAGCGATCCTCCTACCTCAGCCTCCCGAGTAGCTGGGACTACAGGCATGCGCCACCACGCCCGGCTAATTTTTTCTATATATATCAGTTGGCCAATTAATTTCTTTCTATTTATAGTAGAGACGGGGTCTCGCTCTTGCTCAGGCTGGTTTTGAACTCCTGACCTCGAGCAATCCGCCCGCTTCGACCTCCGGGAGTGCTGGGATGACAGAGGTGAGCCGCCGCGCCCGGCCTTTGCAAACGTTAAGATGCGTGAGGAGCCATTCAGACAGAAGGGACGTTCTGGCTCAGCACTCCTCGGTGTGCACCTGTCGGAGAGGGACAGAGGTGACAGGCAGGGGAGGAGTTCTAAGTGTCACCTCCTCACCGGACTTGGAGCCACGTGGCAGCTTCGCGTCTTCCTCATCACACTAGGTTATTAACGTCGATGTTGTACTTTCCCTCCATATTCGAAGTTTCTGGTAGCTTAGTTTTACCCAGAAATTTATCCTTGGAGTCCTTCCAACCTGTACATCAGCCAACTAAAAAACCCACACCCAAAATATTCCAACATAAAATGGGCCAATCATAAAACTGAAACTGTCTAGAACACTTGTAGAAAAGCCTGTGTCTATATCTACATACATTGGCACTAAAATAGCAACAGCGTGGCCGGGCGCGGCGGCTCACGCCTGTAATCCCAGCACTCTGGGAGGCCGAGGCGGGCGGATCACTCGAGGTCAGGAGTTCAAGACCAGCCTGAGCGAGAGAGCGAGACCCCCGTCTCTACTATAAATAGAAATAAATTAATTGGCCAACTAAAATTATATATAGAAAAAATTAGCTGGGCATGGCGGCGCATGCCTGTAGTCCCAGCTACTCGGGAGGCTGAGGCAGGAGGATCGCTTGAGCCCAGGAGTTTGAGGTTGCTGTGAGCTAGGCTGACGCCTAGCCTGGGCAACAAAGCGAGACTCTGTCTCAAAAAAAAAAAAAATATCGACGGCGTGTCCTACCCCTCTCTGTTGAGATGCTAGAGGGCCAGTGTTTCCCTCTCAGGTGCAGGGACTGGCGGGTGGGGAGGGGCCCCATGCTCAGGGCGGGAACAGACAGTGACAGTGGGGATCTCTGCGTGGCGGGCGGGGACGCTCTTTATTGACTTGCAGGCTCGCCCTTCCCCCGAGCGCGTGCGCCCTCTCGGACAAGGACGCTCACCAGGGATGCTGGCGAGGGTCAGCGGAGGTCAGGGTCTGCAAGGTCACCGGATGGAACAGATTCCGAGCTTCCAGTGGTCGGCTGGCATTTTGCAAACAGCAACATGGCTGGGCGGGATCCGAGACAGTGCTGGGACCCAGCAGAGGCCTTGCGAATTCCGGGTTCAGAGGGAGCCCTCCCCGCAGGGCTTCTCTCCCTCCTCTCCTCCCTCCCTCTGCCCAGAAATGGAGCCAGAGTCACGGGGCCGCTCAGAGGCAAAAAAAAAAAAAAAAAGGGGGGGTGGGGAGTGGACGTGGCTCCCCGGGCCTCCCACCCTCGGCGCCCGCTGTTTCCACGTGGCTGTCTCTCTCTGCACAGCGACTCTGCTCGGCGAGATCGAGGCGGCAGGACGGAACATGGTGCAGCTCTGTCCTGCTGTTCTCACCCCCGAGGCCTCAGGGCTTAAGATGCTTAACTTGAGGCTGCTGCTTTTCCTTTTTCAAAGAGAATGCAGGTTTCATCACTGTTTGAAAGCTTGCTGGTCGTAAAGCAAGGAGTCCGAGATGCCCTAGGACCTGAAGCCGGGATGGGACGGGCCGCCACCCCTCCTGCGCCCTGTGGGGTCTGAGGGCGCCCACACCAGCTCTTCTGGCAAACCGCCCTCCCCGGCGGGCCCCCGAGTGGCTTCGCCTCCTCTGCCCGTCACAGGAGGCAGGGGACGTGCCGCCCCGTGTCTGAGGCAACGCGTGTCCACCGGCGGGCAAGGACTTCCGAGTCCGGCAGAGGCTCTTCCCAGCTGCCAAGGGACAGTGACGGCTGCTTGTAGGGAGGATGGGCTGAGGTGGGCCAGGCCTCCGTGACAATGGCGGCCGGGCTGACCATGTGCTGTGTCTTCTGCAATGTCCTGCAGGCCCGCTTCCTGGTCTTGCCGTGGGCGGGAGGCTGGTGGCCTGTTCCGCTCCCCGGCTCCCCGACACTGGTAGGGGATGCACAGCCCACCCTGCACCCTGCACCCCAACCCCCATCGGCCTTTCTGGAACGCTCGCCTCGTCTTTCAATGACACCCCAAAGAGCAAGACGTGTGGGGCACGAACCGGTTTGAGCACTTCCTGGTGTCTAAAGAGGTCCTGGGCCACCTGCGCCGATGAGGGCCCCAAGTTCCCGGCAGAAACGCCGCGGGGGCTCCATTCGGCTGACATTTCTGGGTTTTGCTTTTGCTTTTGCTTTTGCTTTTGGCGAGGATGGGTAGAGGTCCCTGAGAAGCCGGGTGAGGAGGTCCGAGCCGTGACTTCTTGAAGATGAGCCTCTGTGGTCCGTGTGGGAAAGTCCCAGAGCAGCTGCTAAGCAAAGTCCCTCCCGAATTCCCCCCGGGGGGGACCGGCTACCCCTCCCCGCCCCCACCGGCCCACTTCGCTCCTGCACCGTCTTCAGGACCGGCGGCGGGTGAACACCTGGAAGGGGACCTGAGCGCCCAGGAGGGCTTGGGATGCACTCGGTGTCCCCGGGGACTCCACGGCCATCGTATCCACGGTTGCGCCGAGACCGGCTCGATCTGCACTGGGCTGGACCAAGCTGCCCAGGGCCTCCTCTCTGGGGTTCGCCCCGAGCCGGGCGTCCCAGCGCAGGCATCTGGGGAGACGGGACCCCCTCAATCCTCGAGCTTCCTGAGGAGGTGTTGGTAGGTGTCTCTCTCCACCCGCCACGAGTGCTGCATCCTCACGTATTCCTTGCCGTTGGCCGCGATCGCCCTTTCTAACGCGGGATCGCTGACCAGTCTCTTGGCCAGCTGAACAAACTCCTGCAAAAAAAGGAAAAGGGGAAGAGAAACAGATGTAAATAATGGAAGGGGGAGTTTGCAGGAGTGACCCGGAGCCCGTGTCTGCCTCAGCTCCAGGTCTGCTCCTGTCTGCCTCCCTGAGCCCGCAGATAATGGCTTTTAGGAGGGATGCGAGTCCGTGCAGACACTGGGGTTGAGGGAAGAAATAATAGGTGTGTGCACGCATAGAGTGCCGTGGCATCATCGTAGCTCACTGCAACCTCACCTCCTGGGTCAAGCGATCCTCCTGCATCAGCCTCCAGAGTAGCTGGGACTACAGGTGAGCGACACCACGCCCTGGCCAATTTTTAAATTTTTTGTAGAGATGGGGGTCACACTATGTTGCTCGGGCTGGTCTTGAACTCCTGGCCTCAAGCAATCCTCCTGCCTCGACCTCCCAAAGTGCAGGGATTACAGGTGTGAGCCACCGCACCTGGCATAGGGCAGACTTCTTGGGCCAGGAGGCCTGGATTTAGATCCATACCCTCCCCTTTATGTGAGTGATGCTGAATACATTTCTTAACCTCTCTCTGTGCCCCAGTTCTGCAACTATAAATTAGGGTTAATCACAATTACCTGCTTCCTCGGGTGTTGAAAGGATATTAAATGAGTTAATACAAACAAAGGATTTAGGGCAAAGCCTAGCACATACTTACTATCACTATCATTACTATTTTGCCCCAAAACCCATGGAAATTCCAAGACACCAAGGATGCCTAAGATTAACACACAGTACTTGATGTTTGAAAGGAATGTCCACATATTCTCAAAATTATTGTTAATTAAATGTTGAACGCCTTTTATAGCCAGCAATATAAAATAGCAATATTTATGATAGAGTAGAATTATTTTTTATGTATTATGTTTATGCTTTATAGTAAATTTGGTGGTATTTTTATAATAAAATATAACATATTTATTCCCATCTTATAGCAGAGCAACATTCTTATTAAAAATTATTTGAGAGGCTTATAGCTTTGGAATATTATTTTATGATGCTGGTCATATCTGTGATTTATCTGAAGCAGAGACTTTGGATGAAACCCAGCCCCACTGCTTATTATTTCTATAGGTTGTACGGCCGTTTTACGACAAAATCCTGAGTTTCTAGGAAGAGGTTGTGATAAAAATACCCTTTTTTTTTTTCCCCTCTCTGCATGGAGGACTAAACAAAAAACATAGACCTAAATAAAGCAAGGGAGATATGAGTTAGAGAGAGCAACATCTAACATCTTGGCTGTTGGCATAATATCAACAAAACCCTGGGCAGGTGGCAGAAGGAAAGACAGTAGCAGCGTCAAGGAAAGAAGAGAAAAGAAAAGGAAAATCTCTCTCTTGAAGTATAAGAGTTACTCCCTAGGAATCTGGGAGACGCTAGCCCCGCCCAGCACCCTGCACACCTGCCCACCACCCCCACCCCGCGCCCACCCTGCCCAGCTGGCATGCGACCCAGAACCCTGCACAGCTGGAAGGGCCCTGGGGAGGGTCCTTCCTCCCCAGGAACAGGCGGCAGGGTTGAGGAGGACCCTTTAGAGGACTGTGAGGAAAGAGGCGGCTTCCTTCCCACAGCAAGAGAGAAGGGAGGGCAGGGAGGGAGAGAGACAGAGACAGAAAGAAGGAGACAGAGACGGAGGAGAAAAGAGGGAAAGAGAGACAGAGAGAGAAAGAGACAGACATAGAGATAATGAGAGATAGAGGGAGAGACAGAGAGAGACATGAGAGACAGAGACAAAAGGAGAGACAGAGACAAAGGGAGAGACAGAGACTCAGAGATAGGGAGAGACAGAGAGAGACATGAGAGACAGAGACAAAGGGAGAGACAGAGACACAGAGATAATGAGAGATAGGAAGCGACAGACACAGATGAGAGAGGGAGATACAGAGAGAGACATGAGAGACAGAGGGAGCAACAGGCAGCACTCGGGAGGGAGAAGAACACCTGCGGTGGGTGCTGGGCACGGGGGGGACCATCCGTGTGCTCAGACACAGCCTGGCCCAGAGGACACCAGCCCAGCCCCCTTCAGAGCCGGCCACATGGCC